TGCTCGCCTCCCCGCCCTGCTCTGCTGACGCGTCGCCAGGCCCTGATTGATAGATCCGACTCTGTCAAAATTAAAAACTTCTGCACGGGGGTGGGGTGAGGGTGGGGGGCTAGGGGAGAGAGAGAGAAACAAAGAGAGAGAACCGGAGGGAGTAAACTAGAAAATGAAAGAACACTGGAGAAAAGAGGTTAGGCAGGGTGGGCGGGAGGAAGTGAAGGGAGGGAAAAGGGAATCAGCTTCTGTAAAGGACATTGAAAGACAAATGGGGAATATATGTTAGCAATTTGCAAGGCAGACTGAAAGAACGAACGCCTGAATTGAACTGATCCCATGTAAAAGCCGAAAAATGATAATAAAGAACTCTGACAAAGCAAAAAGGACAGAGGTAATTTCCCTTCTCAAAAGAGGGAAGAGAAGAAGACTAGGGAGGAGCATGCATTTTACAAAAGATGTGTAAATGACCAATAGATATATAAAATGATGATTAAACTCAAGAATAATCAAATAAATTCAGGCTAAAACAAGGAGATTCTACTTTTCGCGAATCATACTGACAAAGAGGAACATTATGATAAGCTTGTTGATAAGGAGCTGAGAAAATGCACTATCGTGCTAAAGTGTGAATTGTTATAATCACAGGGATATGACATTTAAAATGTTCCCACCTTTATTTAGAAATACCGCATCAGGTAAGGTTGTGAAACTTTCTTTATAAAATGTACGTACAGTGTAAATTTTTTAAATAATATTGAAACATGTATTTACATGTCAAACATACTAGACTATTACCATGCAATAAAATACTATGCACTATGTTTTAAAATAAGTGGTTAATTTATGTGATATAAATTATATTTAAAGGAATACACGAAATACACTGTAATTACAAAAAACTCAGTATTTTCAATTTTGACTTTATATACTTCTGCACAAATAAAAACATAGTACACGTATAGGCATGTACTTTTCAGTATAAAAATACAACTTTAAAACTAAGTTTTGAACAACTTCTATAGGTAGACTATGTGTGTGAAAATTCTGGAACGCAATACAGTAGTGTGATAATAGTGATTATCGGTGCCTGTTGACATTATGAATAATTCTCATTTTCTATTTTTGTAAGATTGTGAATTTTCTGACGTCTTTTTAAAGTGTGCACTGCATTTGTAATTTTTACAAATAAGAAATGTATTTTGGGAGGAGCGGACAGGTATAAATTGGCAGGCACACAGTAGTGGCACACATTAATGTGTTTACCTATTTGATTACATATTAAGAATGAGAATGAGGTAGCAGCATTGATAAAGAGAATGTGAATAGAAGAAATATTTCAAACTTAAGTATAGATTTCTAGCACTGATGTAGACCTCACAGAAAATCATTTTTCCACTCTCAAATTTCAAAGGACTATTAACAGCATATCAAAATCATTAGATCACAAACACCTCAATAAATCTCAAGATAGAAAAATACAGGCACTTAATACATTAATTGAGTAATATATGATTATATAGTATGATTAATATGATTAATATACTACAGAGGCAAAACTGGAACTTGTTTTAAATATACTAATACATTTATGTTGCAAAAGCCTACTTAGCACATGCCAAACAGCATTTTGTGGTATTTATAAATGAATTCGTTTGTTTGTGAAGTATTCTATTGAAGATCTACTAGAGAGACTGAGCTTGTAGCTAGGTAGTACAGTACTTGCCTACAGTGTGTGAGGTCCTATGTTCATATTCCTAGCACAAAGAAAGAAGAAAGAAAGAAAAAAGAAAGAAAGAGAAAAAGAGAGGGAGGAAGGGAAAAAGAAAGGAAAGGAAAGAAAAAGAAAAAACTAAAATGATAGAATAATTTATATCAAATTTGAACCCATGAGAAAGAGGAAATAGGATACAACTTGAGATAAATATATAAAAAGGATACTTTTATGTTTAAAATTGAAAAAAATGCCCCCCAAAATCAGTAAGTTAATTCTAGGCAGTGGGAATTCCTACTCATATTTGTTATAATGTTGTTGAATCTTTGCGCTTTTATTTTTTTCCAAAAAATTAAGAAAACATCACAGATCATCCTTAATTTCAATAGACTAAAAGTAGATATTAATAAAGAAAAGGAAAAGCCAACAACTTGAAAATTAAAACAACTTTTGAGACAAAGTGCAAACTGAAGTTCTTTTTAGAATCAATTTACAAAAATAATGAAAAAAAATATATATATCAATAATTACTGTAGGATTTTCCTACATGTGGTTTGAGGAACTTAAATAAAAATATAGATTTCTAAGCCCCATCCAAAACCTACAGAAATAAAGGTATACAAGAAACTTCATTCTTATGAAGTATAATAGTATTTGATTTATGGGATAGTACACAGATGAACTGAGAGTGAAATTTATACACTCAGAAAGAATTAGATACTAAAGAATAAAGAGTGAAAATAAGTGAACTCAAATAATGACAAAAACAAAAAGTAAGAACAGTAAAATGGGGTGCTAGATAACAATTAAGATAAATACTAATGAACAAACAAGAAAAGTAAAATTTGTTAAATCAGCCTAAGACATTTTTGTAGGAAATAGTCTGAATAGATAAACCATTATAAGCTCAGTGATTCTGTAAATTTCCAACCCCTCACCAAAGTACACAAGAGAGGAACAAAAACACATTCACCCTTTGCCCTTTCCTGGAGCTTTCTATATGTACATGCATTTGAGTTTGATTCCTTTGTCTTATATGTCATGTCACTTTTTTTTTGCATTTTATTCAAAATTATCTTATTTATAATGGAATATATTAACATTCTAGTAATTAAACTGACATGCATAGTAGGAAGCACAGCATTAATGAACTGAAACTCAAGAAAAGAGCAACAAGACAAATACATAAAAACTAATATTGTGCAAACACATTTAATCATCAAGCGGTATTTTTGAAAATTGTTAGGAAGTGGCTTGTGCCAATCTGGGCTAACAATAAAGAAAAATTAATGACATACTTTCCTTGGAGAATATACATGGCAAAATTTTACTTAGAAGTAGAAAACCTTAACAGGTATGTAAGACGTGTAAGAAAATGAATGAGAAATTAATCAGCTCTCCTGTTCAAGGTAGAAATTGACCTTACGTTTTTATCTTTCTCTCAACTAAATTTCATTGAACTGACAATGATATGTGAAAAAAAATAAACTATTAACAATGTTGGGAAAAAGAAAAATGTCATCAATGAATTTTCATGTGAAATACCAAAATAACATTTAGAAGAAAAATGAAATCATAAAATTCACAAAAAATGTTAAAGCAAATTTTTACATAGTCTAATTATGATTACACAATTTCTAAAACAACAAAATAATCTATAAATGGAATTTTGTTGTTGTTTTGGTTTTTTGAGACAGAGTCTCACTATGTAGTTGAGACTGATCTGGAACTCACTTTGTAGCCCAGGCTGGTCTCAAGCTCACAGCGATCCTCCTGCCTCAGCCTCCTGAGTACGGAGATTACAGGTGTGCACCACCATGCCAGGCCATAAATGTAAATATTGATAGATTTCATTAAATAAGAATATTACCCTGGAATCAATCCCCCAAGTACCATAAAATAATTGAACTACCTTATGTGAAAAACACAACAATATTAAAATTAGAGGCAACCTAAAACTATATGACAACATATGTAACACATGAGGTCTCCTCATGACATACACATACTCCTCACAAATCTACATAAAACAATTCAATATTACAAGAGTAAAATAGATATTAACTCCTATCTTACAAAATGAAAAAAAATTCAGAAGGAAAGAAGGAAAACAGGAAGGAAGGAAGAAGGGAGAGAAGGAAGAAAAGAGGAAGGAAGCAAAGAAAGGGTATTTTACCTTTTATAAAATAAAATGTATATAATAGAAATATAGCTTATCTATAAAATTAAAAACATCAATATAATATCCAATTTTGACAGTCCAGAATGCCTAAGACTGATAAATGAACATTTACTATTATTATTATTATTATTATTATTAACAGGGTGTTGTAGGAATTATGCTTTTGGAGGTATAATTTTTCAGTTTGCTAATAAATCCTAAAAGCTTGATAAAACATGCAGACAATTTTTACTGAGCAATTCCACTTGCACGAATTTACCACTAGAAAGTAATTTCTATTGCTGAGGTCTTGAGGTGATTGAATTAATTAAATATTGTGCTCTCCTCCTTCAGCACTACCTTTAGAATCTAAGGAAAATCCTCTGATTATTCCTCACTTCTGTTGACTCACACAGAAACACATAATATAGTCAGAACTAGAAGAGTAGTAACATAATATAGTGACATGACCCAAACAGACCAGGACTACAATTCCAGCTTGGTCTTTTATGGCTGAATAACCTTAAATTAGTCCATTCTTTTCTCTGAGTCTTGGTTTCTTCATCAGCAAAATGAGAC